TTTACTCGTCTGTTATTCTAAATATATTTTTACTTTATTTGTCATTTTTTAGTGTATCAAAAGAAAAAATATATATAGTATAGTATTGTTAATTATTCTCTCCATTTATTTGTTCTTGTCCATTATTCTAAAAGTATATTTTAACTTTTATTTTAGTGTATCAAAAGAAAATCATATATGTACATACTTTTGTATTTTGCTCCCATTACTCAACATTAATTACTTATTCTCCAAACTGAATCATTTCTCATAATCTAAAATCATATTCCAGTTTAGCTTGTTACGTAATGATACAATACATAAGTGCGTTATTAAACTTGACTTTTAGTTAACAATTATGTCCTTCAACTTTGAACGTACACATTCAACATACGTGACATTTTACTTGATTTTTATTCTTTACATGGTTTATGTGTATTATGTTACATGAGATGTGTATGTCTACTTGTCAATTTTATACAAACTTAAATATCAACTTTATGCAAACTTAAAATCATAGCACATAAATAGCCATTGAAATCAAATTAAATATCATATTTATATATTGTGCCTTAAATAATTATCAAAGTGTTTGTCCATGAAATTTCTACATTTTTTTATTTAGCATATTCTTTTATTATATTATATTTATTCATATTATAGCACATTTATTTTGACTAATATTTTAAAAGATGTATATATTTTTTTAATTATTTTAATAAAAAAAATTCTATCAATTGATGAAATCTATTTTAAATTATTAAATTATAATCAAATTCACGTCCCAAGAACGATGGTACTGCAAATTTGTCCCTGATATCTGTTAGAAGATCAATATATATACAATTATAATCAATTATAATCCTTATTTTAATTTATATTAGGTGTAATAAAATAAAACTAATGAAAATGCAGAAGATGTGAACCTTAATTTAAGCAGAAAGCACATGCTCATTATTTGCACCTCATCGATCCTCAAATTAACTCTCTTCTCTCCGATTCATTCCTCAAATCTCAAAATTCATGGCTTCAAATCCTGATAATATCGTCGAAAAAGCGCATCCAACCACCGTATCCCGAAGGGGACCACTACCTCGCCGGAAATTTTCGTTCCGGAAGAAGAAGTTGCCGACGGTCCGGCTAGGAGGCGGGAAGAATAACAACAATCGCCGGCGATTCTCCGTCGCGAAGCTTTTCCGGCGAGTGAAATTGCGGTGGCTGAAGTCGCAGTACACGTGTTTGCTGAAAAAAATGAGAGAATATTATCAATCTGCTGTGAAGGATATAATGGAAAATGGCGGAGCATTGGATTCGTTTCAGCAGCGTTTACTATTGGAGACTTCTTTTGCTGTTCCGGTGATGGGCCTTTCCTTCAATACTTTTCCAAATCATTATGGCACTTGAAGTTTTTTTTTTTGATGTTTTTTTTACTTGGAAAAACTTATTATTATTGAAAATAATTGGAAAATAAATCCTCAACAATGCATCATTTTTTAAAATATTGAATAGATTCATTACATATTTCTCGGATCATTTTTATTTGTTCAGTATTTCTAAAATAAAGCTTTTCACTTTTAGCATATCAAAAAATAAATTATTATCTATTAAGTATTTATTTATTTTGTTATATCTATAGTCAACTAAGTACATGACATTTAATTATTGCAATGCATGTTTATACGATGCATGAATGTTTGTGCTGGTAGATGCTTGATTTTTGTGGTTGGTGACTTCGTATTTTGAAAAATTCGAATCAAAAATCTCAAATTATGAATGAAAAAAATATTTATCATTCAACAGAATCGGATTGATATGTTCGGAAAAATTTATCCTAAGCAATATCTAAAACTCCACGAAAGGTCAAAGTGGCTCCTGGTGTAAGCGAGCTAATTATGGGTAACAAGTTCTTTTTTTTAACTCGTTGTTTGATATCTATATTAGAGTTTGATTGTATTAAAATTCACGTTTTCAAACTTTCGATTTATGATTATAAGAAATTTGAATTATTCACCGATCATTCATATTGATGGGTAAATAAACTACGAGAAAGTGTTATATAATCATAATGAGTATTTGAAAATATAAATACACCATTAAGGTGGACAACGCACATGAAGGTGAACATACATGATAACATGTACAATATTTATTTTTATATATACGAAATTCGTCTCTAAAAATTTGCATTGTAGCAGTTTATAGAGTATTTATTTTAACGTTATATAATAAGAAGAATAGTTGTGTGACACTATACATGAATTTTATGCTTCAAAAGTATACAATGTACCTATTTATTGAACAATAACATATTTACTGTAATTTCATAAGTGAAATTTGAGAAGGGTGATGTCGTATTCACAATCTTACTTTTATTTATGAAGTTAGAGAGATTTATTTCTAATAATCCTTAGCTCAAACAAAGTATATAAGAAAATAAAAAAATGTAAAGTAAATATAGTAGTGAAGAAGTCATCCTGAAAACAACAAGTAGCAACAACAAATAATACGATAATAAAAAAACAAGTAATACTAAAATAGAAAAATAAGGCAACAAAGAGAGTAACCCGAACAATACTGATAACTAATATGGAACTAGACAAATTGTACCCTAATCTCTGACCTTCATATTTTTTCATCTAGGGTACTATCCTCGATAAGTTGCAGGTATGTGATTATGTCGTTTCTAATAACATTTCCCAAATATATAATCGGCTACCTCTTCTTTTACGCTATCTATAATTAACTTTTCACATTTTCTTATTAAGACATTCTACATCTTTTTTTTATATGTTCGAACCATCTCACGTTCGTGAAATATGCTCCACTTGCGCCTTAAAAGGGGCGGGGAGAGTATCATGGGATTTTGAACTTACAATCAACGTACGTGATGAGAAAGTTAAAATTCGAAGTGTAACTTGTTTTTGAATCAAGTACAGCTTAGAGCTTAGAAATATCACATGGCCTTGTCACTTCCATTTTTTGGTTTTGAAGAAAATCAAATAAATGAATTAAAAAGGTCATTTTAAAAATAAATAAATTAATTAAATTATAATTTTCTCTTCAACTCATCTCGAACCAAAAGGAACAAAAAATATTAATTATTTATTATCTAAAATCATTTCCAAAACTAAAGACAATCCATCAAAATATTCATATTAATCATCAAGTATTTTTAAGAAAACATAACTTTGACAAGTTCTCAAATCGATCAGTGTGAGCCTTTAGAAAGCCTATAGGAGTAAGATTATTTAATTAACTTAAAATAAATGCTTACAGTTTTTATTTTTATTTACAATAAACACTATAAAAGTGTCTACAAATTATTGAATTAAAAACCTCCAAAATAAGCCCATTCAAAAGAACTCTTATTTTGGACATTATAGAACATGTTAATTGTCACTACTGATTTTATTGTTTTTGTTTTCTATAATATAAGAAGGAATCATAAATCAGGACCAATTAATATAATATAAAGAGCCATGTCATTATGTTAATATGTATCTGGTTTTGTCCTTATGAAGATCATGAGATCACAGAACTTGTCCCTAATCAGACCATATTATATATATAATTTATAATTATTGATAAGATTAACATAAAAACTCGTTGAATAAGCTCTTTCATTTTAAAACGCAAGTTATTACAAAACTGACATAAGAGACACTTGTATTTAAAATAAAAAATAAAAAATGGAAAGGTCAGACTTAATATACCTCCTTAGCCTATGCATTTTGCGATTGGTTAATTAAACGGAAAAGGGCCTAAAATATCCTAGAAGTATTTGAAATGGTACGAAACTATACTTCATTTATCTATTGACTCCAAACTACCTTTCTCATCCACCTTTGTGTTCAAAATTGAATACTTATTTAACGATTTTAAATTTAAAATATTTTTTTTGATACATGACACTCAACTATTTGTTGTAATTTAACTTATTAATATAATTTATAAATCAATCTACTACCCACCCATTACTAATTAAACCACACCCAATTAATAAATCCGCCCCATTACTAATGCAACAATTGAAAAGCTTACTGTCAATGAATGTTTCTAAAAATTTGAGGAGAAAATGTTTGTAGAAGTAGATTATCATACATTCACGTACACAATCAAAACATATTACAATTAAATTTCTAATTAAAAATTACCGATAAACTTAAAAATTTGACTATGTTCATCTTAATTAATCATTCGTCTCAATTATGTGATGTTACTTAATATATATATTTTTTAAAAGGAATATATTAAAGTTTAAGTATTTCAAACAAATGATAAATATTTATAAAATTATATTGAAAAAAGTGAATGAATTAATTCAGGATTTACTACTTCTTTACTTTTAATCATAAAATTTAAATTCAAGTTTGAAAGAGAATCTCATTAAAATTGTCTTCCTAAATAAGCGGCTCAACCTAAATTTAATTGGAGTTTCAATTCGGACTCGAATAATTTTGAATCATTTACAGGAGTCTGTAATTTCGTCATGTTTCAGTATTGTTTAGGGCGATTTTGATATTAGAATTGGTTTATTAATTGAGTGGGATTTAATTAGTAATGGGTGGGTAGTGGGTGGTTTATAAATGATATTAATAAATTAAATTATATCCAATAATTGAGCGCCAAATATTTTAAAAGAATATTGAAATAGTTTAAAGTTGAAATCGTTAAATAAGAGGTCAATTTTGAACCTAAAGGTGGATAACAAGGGTATTTTAGAACCAATATATGAGTGAAAAGAGCATTTTGAAGGCTATAGAAAGATAGAGATTAATTTTGTACCATTTTCAATATTTCAAGGGTATTTTAGGTCCTTTTTCATTAATTAAATTGTCTGTATTAAGGCACATGTAAAAGTATATTCATCTCGATAAGACCTCTTATTAAAATTTGGCTTTAAATCACTAATTTTTGTTGAACCACTAGTGTTATTAATATCTCACCAACCCTCGCACTGTTAGACTTTGACAATTATTAGGACCACATGGAAGAATAAAACAAAGAGAAGAGAAGAATGATTCTTTTTCGTTTTCATATATAACTTTTTCTTGTTCAAACAACTTTTTACAACTGATAAAAGTCATAAGAATCTTCTATGTACATTGCTTTCAACAACAAAAACGAAAACACTAAAAGGATTTTTTTTTCTCCCAAAACTGAGACTAAAATGTAAACTGATTTAACAAAAAAAAAAAAATACAATTGGAGTACTTAATTATACTATCTAATTCACATATGTTTTACATTTTAAATCTCTTTTCCCTTTCTTCTATTCGTTGCGATTGATCAATAAGAATTTAGTTTGTTTGTTCTTTCATGCTTTACAGTTTTGTGATACAAATGAGTATCTGAGTAAACAGAAGCATCAGTCTTTAGCCTGTGTTTATACCTGTGTCCGACTCTCCGTTGCTTAGCATTACCATCCTCTCTGTTTTCCCCTGCATTATCTACTTCGTTTTCCCTTACACCCGCCTTGTTTTCATCGTTCACTTTAGTCTTCAATTCACCAATTTCTGTTCCCTTGTCAGGTTTTGAGGAGGGAACGACGTAAACAAATGGGCCCATTGGTATATCCTTCATGTCCAAGACTGGTTCCAAGATCTTCACTATGTTGCTCATAGTAGGCCTAGACCTGGGGTGGTGGCTTAAGCATTGATAAGCCAATGCAGCTACCTTCTTGGCTCCTTGTGTCGAGTACTGACCTTCAAGCCGTGGGTCCATTATTCTGTCAAGCTTGTGTGGATCCCTTAGCATTGGTCTTGCCCAATCCACCAAGATTCGCTCTTTGAGGGGGCGTTTCTTGTCCATGGCTCGTCGTCCTGTTATAAGTTCTAACAAAACTACTCCGAAGCTGTACACATCGCTCTTGCTTGTCAAATGACCTGTTTAAAGAAAATGAAAGTATAAGTATTCGTAATAAGTGGGACTACTAAGAAGTAACGCGATAAATGAGACACATAACATCTTAAAGTACACTGATAATCTAAAAAATTACCAGTCATGATGTACTCCGGAGCAGCATAACCATGAGTGCCCATCACACGAGTTGAGACATGTGTGTCATCGCCTTCCGGTCCATCCTTTGCTAGCCCAAAATCAGATAGTTTGGCTCTGTAATCCTGATAATTCATAGCATTATGAGTTTCTAGCTGAAAAAGGTGTTGAACTTTTCAATGTCAAAACAATACTTCGTAGATAACTTACCGAGTCTAAGAGGATGTTAGAAGCCTTAAAATCGCGGTAGATTACTGGTTTTTCTTCTCCGTGAAGGAAAGCCAGTCCCTTTGCAGCACCAACCATAATTTTTATTCTGGTCAACCATGGCAAACAACTCGAATATCCTGTTTTGATACATCACATGAAAAATCAGAAACCGAGAACGGGGACAAAAGTTTTTGTTCATTTTACAATCGATCATACAAGAAAATCAATGCTTACTCGAAAATAGTTGATCCTCGAGGTTTCCCCTTGCCATATACTCGTAAACGAGAAGTCTCTGCTCCTCCTCCCAACAATATCCAATCAACTTCACTAGATGATGATGCCTCAATTGCCCCAAAAAAACCACTTCAGTCTGAAAATTCAACAATTCTAAAACTATTACTACTAATCAGAAACAGTAGTTACAACCAAAAAAAATCAATTTTCAGGCCAAAACAAATTGCTCACCAGCCATTCTTGATGGCCCTGATTTCCATCCAAATCAAGCAATTTAACAGCAACAGGTTGAGCATCCAAACCAGGCTTAATCTTGTCATCAATAAACCCCTTGTGAACGGGTCCAAATCCACCTTTACCGAGAAAATTAGCTGAGGAGAAATCACTAGTGATGAGTTTAAGTTCCTCATATGTGAATACATGAAGATTTGAACCAATGACAGCGTTCGATGAAAGGTCATCCAATGATATAAGTACTGATCTAGAATCAGTACTTATATCAGAAAAAGCTAATCTATGATGATCAGAATTCATCTGTTTACTGTTCTCCATCACCTTCGCCTCCGAACGAACATTATTGCCCTTAAAACAGTTTGGCAGAACAGATTTCCAGTCAATTCCGCAAGTAGCCATAGCTGTTATACTAAATCCGATGAAATTTGATCAGTTTGGTGTCAATTTTTATTGCTTACAAGGTGTTGAACAAAATGTGTCAATGAAACCAAACAGGGAAATGAGTTTGTGATGGTCTATATTATTTTTCATGCATAATATAAAAGGCTTATATATAATGTAAATTTGAAAAAGGCAAGTGGGATGAATAAGTCCTCCTATTTTATTTGACTTTGATATAGAGCGTGTTATGGTAGTATATTATTATATTATATGAAAATTTTGGTCACATTTTCTTTGAGAAAGCTTCTATGATATTTCATTATTTTGGATTTTGAGACAGAAACACTGGATGCATGGAAACTTCTAAAATGACTGGGGTAGAGGGGTATCCAAGAAAGGGTAGAAAGGACAATTGAAGGGGGAAATAAATTAATTGTTTTTTTTTTTGTAGTTATCATATTTGAACCATCATAAATGGTACGCAAACCTCTTCGTCATACTTTTGGGATTTTGATAATCCTTGTCATTCAAAAACTAGAACATATATGTCGTTAACTCTATCTGAAGACTAAATAGGGTCACATGGCACAATCTCATCCGTCGATTCAATATTTAAAAAATATTGAATCAGTGGATAAAATTATGAGACGTGTATATTTTGTTAGTATAAAGGGTGTATATACTCTAGTTTTAGGATAGCAGGGGCAACAATGTCCAAAAATATGACGGAGGATATATGCATACCATTTACGATAGTTCGATAGTTATTCGTCGTTTTTTCCTTTTTTCTTTAAAGATAAATTTTAGATTCGAACTTTAGATATGATTATTTTTTATTGAAAGAATCACTTTCAAATAAATCATACAATATGCAATCTGAATTCAATTACAATTTTACTAGGGACTCCGAACACAGAGCGGAAAATTAGAAATTATAAGGAAAATGTATTGTGGGAAACTAAAGAAACAAAAGGCTTATCATTGGTTGCAAATCTGAAATGCATCAATCATTCTTGAATATTTAAGGTAAAAAATAGTACACATTATACACAAGTAGTAGTGGATTTTGAACTAGTGTTTTTTTTTTGTATTTATTTTATTTTTTATAGTTTAAACTAGTGGCATTAGATGGATGGTTGAGTCATGAGTGGATTGAATTTGAATGGGTTATAATGAATTGATTCATTAAAAAAATTGGCCAATAATTCACTTAAATTATTTGAGTTGAGAAAATCAAATGAAAATGAGTCAAATAACCATAGTTCAATCCATCTAATTCCTAATAGTTGTTTGGATAAATATTTTTCATTTTATTTAAATTTTTAATATTCAAAATTAAATTAAATTATGTTTGATTTTGTTTTTCTATAATTTCTTTTTTGAATGTTAGATGTTTGAATGAGCTTAATTACAACTCCAAAAGCAAAAAAGAGTTTTCATGATAAAAACTATTTTCTAAATAAAATGAAAAACTATTCTCTTACAACAATTTGTTTATACCAAACAAAACTACTCAAACAACTTTTTCCCCTCTCTGTGTATGATGACTATACATAATGTATATATAAAAAAAAGTTGCTTTTGAAATATTTTAACAAATTTTCTCATATATTAATTTGATAATGGGAAGAAATATTTCTAAACAAATAAATTTAATACATAGTGTTTGCAACAAATTTTAAACGTATAAAAAATAAATAAACTATACAAATAAAATATGAAGAAACATGATTTTCTTCATCGAGATTATGAGTACAAATCTGTTCCTCCCTTGATTTTACTCTCCCCTTTGTAGCGTATTTCTCGAACTAGGATGATTTAGATTTGACCTCTCTATATGAATAACCAATCAATTTGCGGAGTATTCAAGATCTTGATCTCTTTATGAAATTTTCGAGATGCCTTTTAAGAGAATTTAGTACTCTTTATATAGGCATAAATTAGGATTTAGGGTTGAATAACCTCTTATAATCCTTGAACACAATTTATAGAATTCCAACTCGAATTAAACGCATTTTGTAGAATCCGCAAAGCATAGCAAAAGCTATTATTCATACAAAATTTAATATATGAATAATTTAGCTTTTAAATTAGCTACCAAAGACAAACCAATATTTGTTTACCTGTTAATAGTATCTTTTAATTTATACATATGATCATATTAAGACTTCAAAATATTCTTAGTTAAAACTAAAATTTTGTTTTTAACTTTAAATAAACAAAACTATTATTCTAGTAAACTAAAATTTACTAGTAACCAATTTGCTTATGTTTACATATTTGTCATGATATTATTATTTTAATTGGTCAAATAATTTATTATTATGTATAGTATAGAAAGTAGAAACGAATGGTTCTATAATTTGTTATTAGAATTGTTGACTGGCCTTTGTTGTGTAATTCATTATTATAGGATGGGACTTTTTATATTTCAAATAAGCAATAAATGTATGCAACGAAATTATGCACTAATTAATTGCATAGTTAGAATATTTATAAATTTCCACTCTCAGTCCATATGCAATGAAATGGTAAAGTTTATCCAAAATAATTTATTATGTTTTAGATTTTCTTTTTTTCCTTCATGGATAATATGACCATCAAACTATGATCATACTTCCAAATATAAGATAAAATTATTAAGAGGGAAAATGAAACAAGCTCAAACGAAATCAAAGTTGTTGTATTATTAATAAATGTGGTGCAGGTGGATGAGATTGCTTCTTTCTAATTTAAAGGTTTGGGTTCAAATCTTGATCGCCGTGGAAAAATTCTTTGTAGGGAATGTTTGTTCCTAAATGAGGCTCTATGTTTGCGCGAACAAGTTCTAAGTGTTTCTCTCCAAATCGGGCGTTATGCTGCGCAAATTTGAAATAGTCAGGTTCTAATACAGATATCGAATATCGGGTGAAAAATCAAAAAATAGTAGGAAGCGTTTCTTTCTAAATGGGGCCCTACGCTGCATGAATTTGGGATAGTTAAATTTAAATATGAATATCAAACACCGAGTGAAAGAATCGAAAAAAAAACAAGAAAGAAAGAAAGAAACGGAAGTTGCTACCAATGATTCATATAGTTAATCCTAATAATTAGGTTTTTGAATTACAATCTAATTGGTATTGTTTTAAAAAATAAATTACAACCATTAATCTTTAACTAAGCATATTTTCATTTTCCCACTTAATCATAATTAATAGGTGAACCTAAATAATAAATGGACCTATACATAATCCTTAAAAAAGTATTGTAATAATTTTCTTATGCGAACACTCTGATTAATTTGCATGAAATGAAATTTAACAATGTTAATATTTCTTGATTGCTCTTGCCAAGAAGTTTAATTAAACAAACTATGAACTTACTAAATTTACATATCAGATAAAATTACGTTGATACATGAGTTATTAGATAATAACTATGTATAAACAAACAACTCTTATGCATATTTGGTTAAACAATATCTTAATTATAAAGTAGGAGCTATAATTAGTAGTGCTATATATGAAAAGATCAATTTCAGAGAGTATCTTCCAATGGATTGGATTAAAATTTAATCTTATCCGCAAAAAGATTATTAATATGCTAATTAAATGAGTCTCATACAATGAGAATTTTGCAATTTTTCATTTAAGAAAATTCACTTTGCGTTGGTTTTATTTTGTTGGAAATATGAACGTAATTTGATGACTATATATTGATTACGAAAATTAAAAAATTGATTCCTCGACTTTTCAAGATAAGGATAAATCATATATATTCACTATCCTCTCGAGACTCTCAGTCGCACTAAAAATATTGAATTCAGATAGACTCGAGCGAGGAATAATAAGTAAAAAAAGTAATTACAAACCTTCATTCATCATTTTTCTGAAAAAATGCAATCTTCACAAAAGAGAAACGAAGAAAAACAAAATGAACCATTTGCATTGTTTTTTTCTCCACAAATTTAATGAATAATTAAATCTAATGTGTTCTACATTGAATTCGTATTGTTACTCTATTTTCTATTTTTATTGATTCTAAAATAGTCTTAGATAAAACAAAATCATTTATAAAGGGACCAAATTAAACCATATATCTAAGCTAATTAAAATTTTACAAGAGTTAAAATTAAAATTTATTGAAAAATTGAAGATAAAAACACAATTATTATTGATTTGAAATATATTACTATGCTGTGGTAGGTAGACTTGCCATGTCTCCTTTGTCATACTCTTAAAACATTAAATCGGCGTCAACGCGTTAATACTTCTCGATGTTATATTATGTTTTCTTCCCTCTATTATTAGATGGCGTTTTAGACGTTTCAGGTTCGAGTTTTGAAAGTTAAAAATCGAATCTAGTAAAAATAAGTCGTTTTGTTGTTGTTTAGATTTATACGAGTGTTAATAATACAAATTTACAATGTTTAGTTGTGCAAGATTTTGTGTTCATGTACTAGTTATAAATACACTCATAATTTATACATTTGCAGGATTTTAAGCTGGTATTTAAACACCGTACTGATTTATATCTATAAGTGTGATCTAGCGGTCAATGAAGTGATTAAGAATTCGAGGTCTAAGGTTCAAAATTCAGTAGAGACGAAAATACATTACCTGGTTTTTTCATCTGTCCTAGCCTTGATGAATAGAGTTTGCCTACACTAGGTGATTCTTCTCATCAGTCCTAGTCTTGGCTGACAAAGTTATCTACACTTGGTGATTCTTCTTATCTGTCTTAAATTGGGTGGACAACGTTATTCGATACATGTTGCTAGTGGAAGGTGGCAATACTGGCAGACCTAGGATTTTCATTCAGGAAGGTCTAAAAATAAAAATATAAACATGTAACTAAACCAACAATTTTTTTTCAAAGAATGTGACCCTTGATTTCTTTTGGATTAAAAAAAAAAAACTAAAAAAGTAAAAAGTAAATTTAAACCTTTGACGTCATGCACAGTTTCAAAGAAACTTACCACTAGGCTATTTCATTATTCTTGTTATTGAGGGGGTTCAAAATATATATATATATATATATATATATATATATAGA